TTTGGTCTTTTACTGATGTCCCCTAAGTCTCTCGTGTTTTTTCATCCTTCCTTATTGTTTTATCTTTGTCATAGTTTGAATTATAACTTATCTGTCTTGTTTCAAGTCTCGACAGTCTGTCTTCTACTTGAGATATTCTCTTAGTAAGACGTTTTATACAGTTTGTTATTTGAATTGTTGTGTCTTTCATTTTCAGAATGTTAGTATGAATTCTTCATTGTTATTGTACCTTTATTGAATTTTTGTCACATCTTCACCCTATTCCTTATTATTTTCAAGTGTTTGTGATCTAATGGGATTGTCCTTAGTGGTGATTTTTTTTTTTGCTCTTTGATGTTTTTGAACATCCTTACAATTATTCTTTGCAGTCTTTGTTTAGTATGTCATTGAACTCACTGTCACATAAGCCTATGATTGTATCATTTGCTGCTTCACTGTTTGCAAGTTTCATTTCTGCATTACAATTTGCATATCAGTAGTTCTGTAAATATTGGATTGGTTTTAGTCCTGCCTACCCTTTTGTTTGATGTTTTTTAATGTTCAAGTTAATCCTGGTATAAGCAGGCTTGCGATTTCATTGTTTGCCTCTGATGTAGTGGTACAGGCCAGTTGCTAAAAATTCATCCCATTTGCTCTATTCTCTCAGCATAATTTTCTCATCACTGTGAAAATAGAATATTAACTCTTGATTCAACTCTATTTGAGCAACTTGAGATATCACTGCAAATTAAGTTTGTACACTTTCTGGAAGTAAACGCCTTTCAAATTCAACACACAACATTGTAGTAGGCAATGTAGTTCAGATACTATAAAACCAGACACATCAGAATCAATATCTATAATATATCTGGGGACACATAATGGGATATTTTATTTTCAAATTTTCTCAAAGCCAAATTATTATGACTATGAGTGCCTGTCCAACCAGATAAGGAAACAATACAAATCTTTTTATTTGATTGTTTATTTCTTTGTTTGTTTGAATGAGTTATGTAAGAATTAATGTGCAAAGAAATGCTCTTCTAATGAAGGATTCCTTTAGAAGTTATGATTCCGGGCTGGAGAAGTGGCTCAGCAATCTATCACACTTGCTGTTCAATCCCCCACTCTTATACTTAGGCTCAAATTTGTATTCAGTTCCTCAGTATCTTAATCTGTCTCCAGGCATACTTAGCTACCTCATACTCAAATGGAACACAGATATACACAGGCAAAACATCCATCTACAAAAAATAGTTTCAAAAACAAGTTATAATTAATAAAATACCTAAAGTGGTCCATGAAAATGTGATGTATTGTTAGAGAAGTAGGGAATCTAGGACCTCTTGGTCAAAGTGCTTGATTAAAATTATAGAATATAAATTAATGACTTGCATATCTATCCCTAGTTCCAAATCTTTCCGTACAATTAGTTTCAGTCTTTTCAGCATGCCGATTAGAGATTCAGCAGAAGAGAAGAAAGGCAATGTGCAGCAATCAGAATGGTACCGAGAGAATATTGATAACTTTACTGAATAATATCAAACATTGCTCATATCTAGTTTTATATTTGTTTATAAATCAGAGAGTTTCTGATATGATAAAACTATATCATATGTGTGGCTTAGATTTTCAAAAAATTATTTAAAAATCATATTTTTAAAAACTGAAGTGAAGAAACATCATCTAGAAGTTTAAAATTGAGTCTTTACATGATCATCCTTCTAATTTCACTATGTCAAAAGGAAACCAAAATGGCCCCACTTGACACTGGTTACAGCTGTGAGGTATACATCAGTATATTTTGGTCAGACCCACCTGTCTAGTTCCTGTGGCCCATGCTATCATGTCTTCATATAAATGGAGCTGTTGACCATGTGGAAAAAATGGCTTAAATTCTCCTATTCTCACCTTAAGTCCAACACCATGGAGAAAACTCCAAATATGGAAAATGCTATACTCTGCTTGCAGTTTTTCTTTCTGATTCATATTTATTACATCTCCAATGGGATTAATAAAGTACATATTCTTCAGAAATCGGTGAAGCTGAAAGATAGGCAACATTTTTTAGTCTATATTCCCTTATTTAAGTCTGAAAATCTGTTCTGATTTCATTCCAAGGCAACTTTATTGAAGGTGCCCAAGGAAGAAACTCAGTGAAAGCATGTGAATAAATGAAATAATTGTGTTCATACGATTTTAGTTCTCTTAGGAGAAACAATCAAACACAAACACAGACATATACACAACCCACAAATATAAATATGCACCACACACACACACACACAATTCCACATAGATACCCATGTAGAGGCACACTCTCATTCACACACATACTCAATAACACACACATACAGATAGACCTAAGCAATCAATTACAGAGACAGTCACAGAGACACACAGGCACATAAAGACACAAAACACACACAGAGAAACACACTGATAAAAACATTCACAAAGAGACATGTAGATGTAACCAACCGTCTTATTAAATAAGAAACACAGAACCAATATAAAAGAGAAAGCCAAGAGATCAGAGCTCAGAGCTAAAATCTCACCCTTCCTCCTGCAGTGGTCCTAGCTTCCTGAAAGAGACCTATTTCCTGTGTGTTTGTCTTTTCATAGTCTTTTGTCCTGCCTTCTCATTGGTTGTAAACACAAACACGTGACTGCCTTGTCTGTCTGTATGTATAGCCCCCCAGGTCTTAAAGGCATATGTCTCCAATGCTGGTTGTATCTCTGAACACACAGAGATCTACCTAGCTCTTCTACCAAGTGCTGGGATTAAAGGCGTGTGCCACCACCGCCACATTTTTGCTATGGCTCTAATAGCTCTGACCTCCAGGCAACTTTATTTATTAACATACAATCAAAATCACATTTTAGTACAATTAGAATTAAGATTCTTGCTACATCTGGCGCCCAACATTCGTGTTACGAATTCATGAAAAAGCTGTTTGCCTGTGGCCTTGTGAGCCCCAGCTCAGGCCCAAGCTATACTCAGCCGGTTGTGGTGGTGCATGCTGGTAGGATTTGCTGAAGGAGACAGAGGCAGTAGGTTCCCGAGTTTGAGGCCGGCCTAGGAGGCTTGGAAGAATCTTTAGCCCAGACTGAGCCACAAACAGTGGTGGGACCATGGAAGCAGTGGCTACTGTTCCACGTTGCCAGCTCCTTCTCATCATGTTGGTGACTTCGGTGATGCTGATACCTGGGACGAAGGGTTTACTGCTGCTGGTTCAGAGAAGAATTGCCAGGACCATCGTGTTACAAGAAAGCATTGGCAAAGGTCAGTTTGGAAAAGTTTGGCAAGACAAATGGTGGGGAGAAATTGTTGTGAAGATTTTCTGTTCTAGGGAAGAATGTTCATGGTTCCGAGAG